AGAGAGAGAGAGACAACCCTGGACAGCCGAGGCAGCGGCGGCAGATCCCAGATTCCGAGCGGGCGGCGGAGCGGGCGCCGCGGCAGCAACTTTCGCGGGAGGGATTTTCCCGACTTCGGGGGAAAGCAGCGGCGCTGGSAGCCGCTTCCAGGCGGCGCCCGGCTGGAAGAGCTCAACTTCGCGCATCTCCCTCGCCCTCCGGGGRCAGCTCCTCCCGGAGCCCCGGCGGCCGTCGAGGGCGATCGGAACGGCGGGGACTTCTCCGCGACTGGGAACCACCGGCAGAGCGGGCAGAGAGCGGGGGCSAAGGAGCCCTAGAGCCCAGCTCGGCCCCACAGGGAAAGTTTTGACGGGAGGAGGAGGCGTCAGGCTGGGGAGGCGGCGAACGGAGCGCAGCGGAGCCGCGCTGGGCTGGGCTGGGCTGGGCGGCTTCCTCGGGCTGCCCGGGCGATGCAGAGCAGCTGCCGGAGCTCCTGGAAGCCGCTTTAAGGGGGGAAACAAAACCCTCCCTGGATGTGATTAATTACGGCGCTCCCTCCGCCTAGGTCTGGAGGAGAGGGAAACACCTAATCCTCCCTCCGCCTCCCTGTTGCCACCCCCCACGCCTTCGTCCGTCTCCTCCCGCTTCCCCGGGCGCAGCCGGGGCCGCGGCGGCAGCAGCGGCGGCCAGAGCAGCAGGAGCGGGGCCAGGCGCCGCTTGCAGCGCTCGGGCATCCCGGGCCGGGGGCTGCGCCCGGCGCCTCCCGCCGAGCCGAGCGGGGCCGCGGGTCCCTCCCGCACTCCCAGCCCGGCTCGCCGCCTCCTTCCCTGGGCGTCCGCAGGAGCTGCGGGCTCCGCTGCCTCCTTCCTCGCCTTATTTTATTTGTTTTTACCGCATTTTGAGCGTTTTGAGCTCCCCGGCTGCGGCTGGCGGGGTGTCGCCGAGGCGCCTGCGGGGCGCATGGGGCAGCGCTCCGGGAGCTCCTCGCCTGCCGCCCGATGCTGCCCGCGCTGCCCTCGCCGCCCTTCCTCGCCCGCCATGGGGGCTCTGCCCTGAAGATGGAGCGGATCTGTCTGTTGCTGCTCTCCTTGCTCCCCGCGCCCAGCAGCGCGCAGGGGGTCTACGGTAAGAGCCGCGCGGGGCGGCAGCCAAGTTAAAAGGCGCCGGCAGGAGCCGGAGAGCGGAGCTGCTCCCGGCGGGAGAGGAGAGCAGAGCAGGGCAGGGAGGGGACATCTACTTGCGCCCCCCGGGCCGCCCTCTCTCAATTCTCGCTTTGCAAGATGTGTGTCCCCAACACACCTGGGCGTTGTGGAATAAATCAAATCAAGCCCCGGCCCTTGCCTCGCACGCCCAGCTGGGCTCAGGCTCCCCGCGGCGAGRCAGAGCCCCGGGGCAGCCCGGCCGCCCCCGCCGCGTCTCTGTGGTGGAAACGGCCCCTCCTGCCCCAGCGGGGCTGCGGTGCCACGTCGAGTTCGGGTCTGTCCTGCAAAATGACCCTTCTGAACAGCGTTCTGTGCCTTTCTTTTCCTTTCTTCCTCCTAAATAGCGTTTTGTGGTTTTATTTTATTGATTTATTTTCCCCCTCCTAGTATACTCCTGTTTGAATGTCCAGAGGGAAATTTCAGGAAACTCTTCCTAGGGCCAGAGAGGCAGAGAGCAGCGCGAGTTTGTGGCACAAGAACTTAACTGAGGGCGGGTTACTCGATCCATTACAACAGGTAACCTGCTGGGAGGAAAACTTTCTGATCTGCTTTTAAGGCCCTGGCCACCTGTGCTCGTCCCTCATGGTGGAAAGGCCTCCTGCTCCCTCGGGAGCAAGGCAGGAGGGACAGGGCTTGAAACTGCTTTTGCTGCAACCTGCCATAGAAAGACTCTTGTATTATTATTTTCCTTTCCCTCCGCTCCGGTGAACTTTCATTTGATAAAACTGCTGCTGAATTAGATGCAGGGAATAAATTTGCAGTGCTTTATTTTGTGCTCTCCTCCCAGAGAGGAGCGGGAGAGGCTGCGCACAAAAGAAAGCCCAGACAGACAGACACGCCGAGATGAAGGCATCCTCGGAGGCAGGACGGGCACCAGCCTCTGCCTGCTCCCGCTGCAGATACGAAGGGGAAATCCTGCCTCTTGCCGCCTCTCTCCTCCCCTGCCTCTGCAAACCACCTGCCCAAATGATCGATGACCTCTGAGGTCCCTTCCAACCTTCGGCATTCTATGATTCTATGATTGGGAACTCGATGCCACACAGCTGCTGTGGCATCAGCACACCGCAAACTTGTGTGAGGATTAGGGGTTTTCGCACGCTATTTCCCCAATTTTGCCTTCAGTCTGTTACCCTTTTCTGATCTTGTGCTTTGTGCAGCCAACACTGTCTGGAGGTGAAACTTGTGTTATTGATAGTTCATGTGAGGCTGGAATTAAACTGTTTTATTTGCGAGGGTAACCAAAGCAGGATTAGGCAGCAGTTCTGCTGCCCTTCCGTTTCCAGTTATCCCAAATGTTAGTCTCCAGCCACGGCCTCAAGATGCATAACCTGGGAGTATTCCCTATTGTGAATGTTTGTGGCACCTACTGTGGAATTTTGGGAACTTGTACTGTGTTTCAGGTGCCTATTTCTGTTTTTGAACAGGTATTGTGATAGAAGTGGGGAGAGGCATCTATTTGAGTCTATAAATATATTTTACTCAAGTAAATCTGCTGAGATTAAATCAGATTAAACTAGATAAAGCATCCATGTGATGTACCCTTTGAATAATACACCCACATGGATGCACACAAAAGACCTCTGTCTAGGGAGCCGAGTTGTTGGAGAGGGTTATTGAGATGAATGGTAAAAATAAAATGTGCGTAAGGGGCTTGTTGGGAAAGAAGCATTGTCGATGGAGGGGCAATTTAATTAGGAGTCAAGGTACTTTTAGGCTGTTACCTGAAGAGCTTATTATACAAATTGACGTTTGTTATAGTTGACTGAAGAGARTCTGAAACCTGCTTCTCAGCTGCTCCCATCCGTTCGGCGTCATGTGCTGCAGTAAAGCCAGGCTGTCCTGGTAAATGTTGCCTTTGGACAGCTGACCTGGCCCCCATGCTCCCCTTTTTGTGGTGCTTTACAAACCCTGCTCTTCAATGCCCTGCTTGAGACAAGGGGCGAGTGGCAATATATTGGAAATAACTGCAATTGCTAACTGGGTAACTAGAGCCAGCATTGAGGTGGTGGGGAGATGAGGAGAAAGGAGACCTGCGTTTTCAGGTGTAGCTATATGTGCTTAAAGGCAATGAGTTAGATGGGAGAGGGGCTTAGGGAAGGGCTTCTAAAGGGAAGAGTATGTCCCTTACTTCCTTGCCAGCCTTGTGCGCTTGAGTAGCTCTGGTTCAGAGCAGGCACAGGGCTGCTGCTTTGCTTACTCCATGCCATAGCATTTAATAAGCATTAACAAACATTTCTGGGGTGTCCTGCACCTAGCACTGCCCAGTTGGCAGGCAGCAGCATTTCAGGCCACCTGAAAGAGCGGGATGTCATTGTGTTCCCAGGCTCTCGTAGGTCACCTGCAAGAAAAGGCCACCGGGAAGCCCTCCAGGAATGGTCACTGCTGAGTGGGGTTCGGGAGAGGGGAAAAAAGGAAGGTTCAGGGCAGGCAACAGGGAGAGCTGCCTGGTGCTGTGATTCTGAGGCAGTGTGGGATGGACCACATGATTTAAGGCACTTGAAAGAGGTGGGGGTGAAGCACTTGAAATACTAAACAGCCCTGCTCTGGCCTCTGAAGTTGGGAATGAATGACCCAGTGAAGTTGCTTCTTTAAGGAGAAGCCAAAACACTCAATCAGCTGTGACATACCAGTGGAGGCAGCCAAAAAACCTAGTGGGAGAGTGCTTTCTAGCATCTGCATTGGGGGACTGTCGAGGTAAAACATGTCCTGGGGTTAGGCTGTAAGCACTGGCACTTATGTTTGATGTACACATGACATGATCTGTTTCTTGCTCCTTTCACCTGTGAAGACCATGCCTTGTTGGCAGGGTTTTCAATGCAGCAGCATCTGGGCAGAGCGTCCCGTGCCCTCCTGTGTGGGTGGCTCCTTGCTGTTGGCTCCCGGGGTGCGACCGCGCAGCTCGGTCCTGAGCTGACTCCTTGGGTCGGACCCTCTCTGCTGCACCCAAAGAGCTGTTCTGTCAGCTGGGGCAGGAGCATGGGCAGCGCTTCAGCCTTCTTGCCCTTGGACCAATGTGCTGGACGCCTAATCCTGCGCCCTTTGAGACGGGGGAGCATGTTGTCGACTAAAGGAGCAGTGGAGCTGGCTCCTGTGAGGTGCTTCTTGGATGATTAAGTTGGGAAACTGGGATGTATGAGCATGGTGGTCCTTAAAGCCTTAACTACATGTGTATGTGTGTGTGTATCCTTCCCTTTGTGCCTCTTTCTTGTTGTCCAGTTCTTAAATCTGTCACTCCTAAGGCTATTACCTTTTCGTCACGGGAATGAGCAGGGGTTTGTAGTTTAAGGGCTACAGAAGTAGTCTCAACTAAGGACTGGGTTGGTCCAAGGCTTGTGTACTTCAGCAGCTGCTTAACATCAGGGTGTTAAGTCTGTCCGTGTGGGCTTGCTTCCGGCATGTCTTGTTTGCTTCCCACACCTAGAGTGTGTCACATCCACCCTTGTGTGTCACCAGAAGCTCTGTTTTAGCTCAGCAGCTCCGTGCACGAGGTAAGCCCTCAGCTTGCTTTAATATGCGGTACTAGGAAAGTGACATTATCCTCCTGACAGGTTGTTTGCAACTTACTGGTAGAAGTCAAAATATTTCACTATAGGTGTCATCAGAAACCACTATCCTATGCTAATTTTTGTGGGAACATGAAGACAGATGTTGAATAATTTGACATGAGCAGCATAGCTTATAAAATTATCACCGTGTCAGGATTGCATTGGATATTTTGGGGGGGAGGGGGGCGGCGGGAAGGAATTGGATGATTTGAAGAGACAGGAGATGGAGCTGCTGTGACTCCCAAGAAGCAGAAGGCACAGCAGAAAGTGGCCATGCGGGTCCAGTAGTGAGATGGGAATTYGGAAATTAAGTGTTGGCAATAAGGAATGCTGTGCTGCTGGGGGCGTTATTTTTGAGTCAGAAAYGGTCTGTGCATAAGCGTGTTGCTTACAGCACTGTGGCTTCCTAGCGCAAGGAGGGAGCAGGACTGAGGCTGAGGGGTGAGGAAAAGGCCTTCTGGCCAGTGTGAAGGTGCAGGCAAAAGCAATGGGGATAACGTGTTCCTAGTGGGGTGGACTGCTTGTGGGCATGTTTCTTGCCATGCTTGCGGGCATGTTTCGTACTGCGTTCGTGGGCACATTTCTCACTGTGCTCGTGGGGCCTAGCACTAGGCCCTGCCTGCGCAAGGCTTCTTTGGCCAGGCCGCGCACGGGGCCTTGCCGGGGGCGTTGGGGAGCGGGCAAGTGGTGGCGCGTTGGGGTGGGCGCTGCCGTGCAGTGTTGCCAGAGGAGGCCGCGCTTGGCTGCGGGGTACAGCACTGGTGTCGGGCCCCTCCTGGACAGAACGGGAGAATATGTCGTTCTGCTCTCTGATGTGCAGCGGTGCCTTTGGTCACACGTTGTGCAGGGAGCCCTGGGCTACACTTGGCACACAAGGTCTGAAGGTAGATGGAAACTATGAAGAAAACTTTGAGACGGTGTGTGTTTTTCAAGCACTCCAGGAGCCCAGATCCAGTGCCCCAGGGCCACCCCTTTTGGCGCCCGCTTTAATTTGGAGATGCAGAAACCCAGGGTGGCTGCGGGMGGAAGGAGGGAGGCGGCGCTGCCGCTGCACGGAGGAACTCGATCCATCTGCCGGATCCCTGAGGAGCGAAGCGCTGCCAGGGGGACCCGCACCATCCTCCTGCCCGTGGTTGGCTGGTGAAATTCCTGCTCTGTCAGGATCCAAAGCACTTTGCTTTGAAAAGAGCAAAGCTTTTGTCTGCCCCTTACGGAGGGGGAACAAAGGTTTATTTTTATAGCCCAGCATTCGCTTAGTGTTTAAAGGAAGAAATTAAATGTACAATATTCCATGAAGCTGGCAATCAACAGCACCGCATTAAGGACTTAGAGGGGGGAAAAATAAGGATAACTTGAGCTAGGGAAGGGAAATCCCAGC